ACGAAGCTATTTTTCTAGAGTACAACAGAGGTTTATGTGACTTTTGAGTGGACGTGGTGCTTGGAGGGGACATTGATGTCATGCAAGGAGCTGATGGGAATTTTCTTTAGGGCCCTGGGAAAGAAAGAGGAAGTTGTAATCAAGGAAAAAAGAGGAAGTGGCCATATGAGTAAGCATCCCTGATTTTGCCTTCTTCAACCTTGAACTACCACCATGAGGTTCTGTAATTGTTTCTAGGGCAAAACGCATTCAAGGACATCCTTCAGTTTCAAGGAACAAATCAAAACAATGGATTTTTGCCACCTGTCTCCCTCTATGGCTGGTAGTAAACCATTCATTAGAAATACTGTTAGTCATTTCCTTAATGCATTGTAGATACCATAACCAAAATTACAGATCATTTCACTTTCAGAATACAAAAGTAGCACTTAAAGTCAGGGATAAAGCCCTTCAGTGCAAGCATCCCTGGAAAGGTGAGATCAACATTGTAGAATACAAACTACTACCGATATATCTGACTTCAGGAAAGAGAAAAATTTATAATGATATTGCTATAGAGTAATGAATCTCCCGGTTTAATATGTCTGGTATGAGTTTGTGTTCTCTAAAGTCAAAGAATGAATTTTAGGAACAACAGAAATTAAGAGAAGAATATACTTATTGAGAGAAAGAAAGCTACCTGAGAGAGAAGGGGTCCTGAGCGGGATGCCAAACACTGTCTTTCTAGGGACCTTTATAGAGTAAAATCATGTGGTGAGATGAGTTTAAGGTGGGGAAAAATCGGAATTTATAATCCAGATGGGCATAAGACGGGACAGAGCTACGGTAGCCAATAAGATTATAAGTTCATGTAAAGTCGATTAAATTGGGAAAAAAGGGGAAAGGGAGTCACATAGAAAGCAGGCATTCTTAGGCAGCAGTGACGTTTCCCTTAGGGTTTTGGGAGGGTGACTCCTGACTTCATCAGGATGATAGGAAATATTTAAAATGTCAGTCCTTAGGATAAGCATACTTTTCTTTGAATGGTGACTCCTGACCTCCTCAGAGTGCTATGGGACTATTTAGAATATCAGTCTTTAGGAAATGGATGAATTTGCTTATCATTTGTCTTGAGACTTGGCCCATAGTATGAGGTGTCAGTCTTCCCCATAGTTGCACAGTATCTGGTCTCCTACATGGACTCCTTGGAGGACCTAGCCCTGCCTTATGCCAGTACTATTTAAATAACTCAGGTGCCTGTAACAGTACTGTTTGGATAATTGATTACAGATGTCTTGTGCTGTGGGTGAATGATCTGGGGATTACAGTGTGCAGTGTATATACCAGTGTTGCCCCCTGATTGACATGTTTTTAAATTTAATTTTAGTTGATGTGTTCTTTTTTCGCTGAAATAGAATGGATAGGAAAATTAAAAGCCTGAGGTAAAGCTCTTCAGTACAAACACTCCTCTGGTCAAGCTGAGATCGCCACTGTAGAAGAACGGCAGCTCCAGAAGTATCTGCACTACAGTCTATCATTTGGGATCCTCTCTTGCAGGGAGGGGTTTCTTTCCCTGTTGATTCTTGACTCAGAAGGAGAGCAGTAGAGCAGGAGTCAATCAATGATGAAGGGGCAGGCTATGTGAACTGTCCAATTTTCAGGCCATTGCTGGCTGTGACTTTTGTCTCTTCTGGTGTCTCAGCATGATTTACCTTTTCTGAGTATGATACTGGTAGCAAAACGCTTGTTGCATCTCATTTAGTACTTTCGATGTCCTGCAGGCTGATTAGCAAAGAACCTGAGAGATCCTGGAGCCATGAAATGGTGAGGTTGTGGATGGGAGCCCAGAGTTAGGGTGGATTCGATGAAACCAGTTACAAGTATGTAGAAGTAATTCCTGTGTCTGGAGCCTCAGGTATTTAGTTAGCTTCAGCTCCTGAGGTCCTCCAGCATTGGCCATGGGTCATTCACTCTCACTTTTACCTCTTGCTGTTGGCAAGGGTGATTTGGGGTCCCCAGAAATCTAGCTTCACTATTATAGCAGCATACTCAAGTATCATCTTTGGAATTCACTGCTGGCCTAGAAACTCCACAATCTTAGGCATTGGAAGGAGCTTGAGAAGACCCTGACTATGATGCTTTTTGTAGCTTGTAGAGCAGTAATGAGCTAGGCCTATGCTCTCTTTCCTCAGAGTAGCAGATCTGGAATGTTCAGAGTTTATTAATGTCTGTAATGCAGGACCTCATAGCCACAATGACTCAACTTAAACTTGGGCTTTTTTGTATTTATAGTGATCTCCTCAATTTATAGTATGTTCTCATATTTCCATCCTCATGACAGGTAGTCGCAAAGGTCCTGAGGATTCAGAGACGTGTAGTAGTGTGCCTCCGTGGAAAAAGGCTTCCCAAACAACTCATGAACTCCTGTGTATTATACAGATCAGTGCAAAATAATTTCTGAACATACTTAATTATTTAGGTGGCACCCTTGCTCACAGACTAGGTTTGTAAGAACAGCCATAGAGTTTTGAAGTCTGAGAAAAATGAAGCAAATATGAAAGTGTTATCAAGGAAAGGGTAAAAATTTTTGAAGGACAAATTCCAGAAAGGGCTACCTGTTAAATTTTCATTGAAAAATGCTGAAATTCAGGCATTGGCATGCACATATACACGTGATATACTTCTGAATGGAAAGGAATAGGTGTGTCATCTCCGAATTAAGAGCTCATTTAGTGTCTTGGTTGTTCATAGACAGTTTAAATATGGAAATGCTCTGCAATGGAATTTATGAAGTGGTGTAAAGGAGAAGCTCTAAACAGAAATTTTGCAGTGGTATCAATAGTTAGGCATGAAGGGTTTCCTGCTGAGGATGGATCAGAGGAGTGTGGAAAGGATGTGCAAGTGACTGACAGAATTCAGGAAGCCAATAGCAGGACATACAACAGAGAGGGTCTTCATTGAAATTCAGTTAGTTCTTAGAGTAAGTCTAAAGTTAAAGTTGGGTTCTGATTGCTTCTTGGAGGTGATTAACACCAGCTCTGGCAACAATCAATATTTCACATCCTTGTCAACCCATGAATTTTGTGTTCCATACTTGAGATCTAATTTGGATTATCTCTAATTATGCCCCCAGTGTCATGAAGGTAAAATGTGCATTTTTTTTTACCAAGGATCAAACTCATGACCTATGCTTTCAGGCAGGTGTTCATGCCACTGAGCTAAATACCCAACTTTCTCTTTGTTGTATGGAAGATATACACATTGTTTCTCATAAAGTGTTGAATATTGTTGGAATTTTTCCATATTGTATGGCTATAATTTTAAAAAACAAACTAAAGTTGTCTTATGCAGTCTCTTTTCAAGATTCACTTTGTCTGTGGGGTGTCTCAGTCTTGGTTTATCTACTTTAGACAGCTCTGTAACTTAGGATAGTCCCAAATTCAAGGAAGAAATCCTTCATCAGCCTCACAGGATATATTCCTTATATCTGAATTGAAAGTGATCACTTGGTGACAGTGAGCTATAAATTACAGCTCGGGCATGGTTCCATTTTATATACTTATTTTTTAAAAACAGCATTTTCCACTAACATTTGAGTTATTATTTGTGTACCATATTGGAGGTTATTTATGTTTTGTTCTATGAAACCAAATTCATGTTTCAAAATGCTGCTGAAGTATATTAAGAACAAAGTACTCACTGGCCTAAATGAGATTTGAAGAGACATTATCTGCAGCCTATCAAGGTGATTGATGAGTTTTTTTTTCCTTTTTTCAAATTTTGAAAGTGGTAAAATACAACAGAACAAGGCAGAATAAGGCCAACTAAGATCATACAGTGAAATTGGTACACAACTTCACAACAGGTTACTGCAATAACAGTAATAGGTATCACAGTATATTTTATTATCTTTATAATAGTTGTTCTTTCAAACACATATATCAAAATGAGATGAAATACAGAACATTATAGTACTTATCAAAACAGAATATTGAATAGAGCAATACCATTAATCAGAATAGAGTAAAACAGTAATAAAAATATTTAGCTTCAAAGAGATAGTAGAAGGAAGTTCCCCTTATTTGTTATGGTCTGCTTCCCAGGAGACACTCAGATTTCTGTTCCCCATTTGCTAATGGGGGGTGACAGGAGAAGAGGGGTAGGGAAGTGGGATGTTTGATTCTAGGCCATGCATCAGTAGGTTCACTATTGCATAGTAGGGAGACAGGCTGGTTGTTTGGTTTCACAGCATCCTAAGATCCCACATGGCGTGGATCTCAGGAGCTGCTGCTGGTTCTCCCCTGGAAGGGCCGCATTCTGCCACACTGCCACTGCTTACCAGGGAGAAGTGGTGCTTGCTTAACTTCCAAGTGTCCTAAATTCCAGCATGGCATGGATCTCAGGAGCTGCTGCTGGTTTGCCCCCTGGATGGGCCACAGTCTGCCACACCGCCACCACTTACCAGGGAAAGGAGGTGCTTGCTTGGCTTCCCAGTTGATTGATGGGATATTTATCTGTCTCTGTGCTTTGTGGATGCTGGTCCTGCAGGCTTCTCACTGTGAGCTCTGCATTAGAGACAGTACACAGGGAATATTACAGTGACTCAGCACAAGAATCAGTGCTCCTATTTCACTGTTACATTAGCAGTGAGCTGCAATCTATCATCAAAATTGCTGTCTTCAAAAATGTGTATATACACAAAATTAATGACCAAAACATGGATTTAAATTTGAAGACATCAGTCTTCATTCAGCTGTTTTGTTTGGTTGTATTTGTTTAGTTTTGTTTTGTTTCATTGAGACAAGCTTTCTATATGTATATCAGCTGGATTTGAATACCCTATGGAGCCTAGAATTGCCCTGAACTCGCTGAAACCATCCTCCCTCAGCCTTTTGAGTGCTGGCATTATAGATATATACCACCACACTTTGCTTTTGAGTCAGATTTGTAGGAGAGAATTTAAGATATCCCAAACCTGGTGTCTCAACCTTCGTGTGAGAAATATATCTGTGGTCCTTTAGGAGGTGGTGACCTTTGAGGATGTGGTTGTGAACTTCAGCAATGAGGAGTGGACTTTGCTGAGTCCATCCCAAAAGAACCTCTACAGAGATGTGATGGGTGAAACCTTTAGGAACATGACTGAAATAGGTAAGGACAAAATACTTTTGTCACTCATGCTGTCAGAATGTTGTATGTTGCTCATCAGTGCTGTTTCATTAAACACAATGTGAAAATATTTTTAAAAATAACTCAGACCTGGACACATTATATCATAACTCTAAACAAAATCTATTAATTTGCATGTATTATTCTAATGAGCGCTGGTATTTCTATGTCTGCAATTCAGGAGGACTTGGGAATATCCACGAACCTGAAAAAGAATGCAAAATTTACTGGAGATACTTAAGGTAATTCGCACTCATAAGGAGAAGGAATGTTCCTGAGTAATTAGTGAGTCAGCAGAAAAATACCGCCAAAGAAATGAGGCACCATTAAATTTATTGTCAGTAATATTCTCTGAAGACATATAAGCTAGGGTATGTATAATGAGTGGAATAAATCAAGAAAATGTATGATATTGCATATAGATATGTATGAAAGGCACACACTTTGAGTTATGACATTCTCCCTTCAGTTTTTTTTTACTCATATATACATGTGAATACAACATATTCATCATCTAAAAATTGCTAAGATTGCAATAGAATTTGAAATAAAACGGAGTTCTTGTGTTTTCAAGCCATGCTCTAAAAGAATCAGCCATTCTGACTAAAATTCTTAGAAGGCTGGTAGAATGTTAAGTGCACTCATTCTGAATATCAGTGTGCAGTTGTCTCTGGAAATTGATCCCCTCATGCTTGTTCTGGATATATTTTAAAAATTCAAAATGCACATAAAATACTGGTACATGTTTACTCATTTACAAAGCAGATCAAGTTATAATAGATCAGGCCTTGAAGAAGCTTAGCTATCTATCACTGGATTTGTGGAGAAGGAAAATGTTAACAGACTCTCTGTGATTGTGCATTCTTGTATATCCAGCACATAGGAATCAGATTTTGCAGAATGGCAAATTCAAGTTCAAACTTCACAGCTTAATGATCAGTGAAAATCTCATAAAACACATTTAAAAAGCTATAGATTTTATGCTAATAGCCATTGTTCATTCCCAGCATGGAAAAGAAAAAAATCTGTTATATAATGTCAACAAATAAATAATATAATGTCATTTGCCATAAGAAATAGGTTGTTCTTTCTCCCATCAATTCAGTGAAATAGCTCCGCTATAAAACCTAAAAGTTCACAGGGTACCTTTTAGATGAGAAAACAAAATATAAATTGTGGAATGAAATGAAAGAGAGTTAATAGAGAAAAGTAGGATGAACCATATGGAAAAGGGAACTTCAGGTTAAGGACAGAAGGGAGATTGTGATGGGGAATCATATCAGAATGATCTGTATGTGACACACATATGTACCCATGCCCAAAGTGAAGCTAAATATTCTGCATTTCAAAAGGTACCACATTTTATGATTTCCAAATGTGTACCAGTCTTTTGGGAATGGTTGTTTTCAACATATCTTACAAGGCCATTCTGTTGCTTCATGGTCAGTATTTCTTACCAGCCATTAAAAAGAGAACTTGACATTAATGCAGTCATTAAACTGAGACCCATTTCACTGTGAATTTTTCTTTTTTTATTTAATATAAGGAAACACACACACACAAAAACAAAATAAGTAGAAATAATACCACTTTCAAAGTGAAAATAAACAGTAAGAAATCTAAAGACAATGATTATGTATGCTGCTTATAGAAATAGTTAATGAAATACAAAAGTGAAACATATGAAGTAGTGATTCAAATAGTGAGACTGCAGAGAGTTTTGTTCAACTCTCCAATAAAAACTAAGTAATTAGGTTATCAATCCTATATGTGATATTTTTCTTTACAGAAATGAAAAGCTAGAGAAATCCTATGGACATACATCTTGGAATCAGTGTAAAGAAGTATTCCTTTGTACTGCAGAAGGTAATGTGAATGTGAAAGAAACAGAAACACACCACAATGTTCAGATCCATAAAAAATATTGCAGTGGAGAGAAACCTTATGTATGCCAGCAATGTGGAAAAGGTTTCACCACATCTGGACATTGTAAGCAACATGAAAGAATTCACACTGGAGAGAAACCCTATATATGTAAGAAATGTGGGAAGGCTTTTAACACACGGAGATATTTTAAGAAACATGAAAGAATTCACACTGGCAAGAAACCATATATATGTAAGCAATGTGGCAAAGCTTTTAACACACAGGCAAGTCGTAAAATACATGAAAGAATTCACACTGGAGAGAAACCCTATGTATGTAAGCAATGTGGGAAAGCTTTTACCACACATGGACATTGTAAGGCACATGAAATAATTCACACTGGAGTGAAACCCTATGTATGTAAGCAATGTGGGAAAGCTTTTAACACAAGGGAATATTTTAAGAAACATGAAAGAATTCACACTGGAGAGAAACCCTATGTATGTAAGCAATGTGGCAAAGCTTTTAACATGCAGGGAAGTTGTAAAATACATGAAAGAATTCACACTGGAGAGAAACCATATGTATGTAAGCAATGTGGCAAAGCTTTTAACATGCAGGCAAGTTGTAAAATACATGAAAGAATTCACACTGGAGAGAAACCCTATGTATGTAAGCAATGTGGGAAAGCTTTTACCCAACATGGACATTGTAAGCAACATGAAAGAATTCACACTGGAGAGAAACCCTATGTATGTAAGCAATGTGGGAAAGCTTTTAACACACAGGCAAGTTGTAAAATACATGAAAGAATTCACACTGGAGAGAAACCCTATGTATGTAAGCAATGTGGGAAAGCTTTTACCCAATATGGACATTGTAAGCAACATGAAAGAATTCACACTGGAGAGAAACCCTATGTATGTAAGCAATGTGGAAAAGCTTTTACCCGACATGGACATTGTAAGCAACATGAATGTTCATATTCAAGATAAAACCAGTGTATATAAGCATCATGAGAATTTTTTGACCACAATTACATATACCATAATGCATGAAAAACTTCACACTGGGCAGAAAACTTATATATCTAAGGAATGTGGGAAAGGTTTCAGCAGAAATGCTCATTGTCCAATACATGAAAAAATTTACACTGTTGAGAAACCCTGTTTATGTGAAGAATGTGGGAAAGCTTTCACCACATATGGATTTTGTAAAATACATCAATGACTCCACACTGGTGGAGAAACCCTATGCACATGAAAATGTGGCAAAGCTTTTACCACATACAGTCATTGCAAAACAGATAAAACAATTCACACTGGGATTAATCACTGGCTACGTAAGCAAGTGGAGACACTTTCAGCATCCAAATTGTAAGGGAAATACATGAAGAAACTCACACAAGAGATAAATCCTATGTGTTATGGGAATACTCTCAGCACACATGATCATTGTTACATATCTGAAAGAGCTCACTGGATCCTGTGTGTATTAACAGTGTGGAACATATGGCAATCCATGTTTGTTGTTAAATACATAGAAAAAGCAGCACTCTTCTGACAGTTTAGATCTAAGTTTATTTTAAAAATTCCAAGTAGACCTGAAGAAATAATCAATACAGAAGTTTGATGTCAATATTTCTTCACGAATTTTCCAGAGATGACAAATCTGAAGTGGAGCTCTACTCAAGTACACATTTTGTATGGGTTACAGTTAATCACTTATACCTCTTTAGATTTTGTAATGTGTCTTTGTGCTTCAATGTGGCATCTTGTAATTAAACATGGTAAACTGAAATGGGCTTTTCACTTTCAAGTATGGATAGTGTCTATGTACTTAACATTTTGTCTTTAAAACTTAATTTTCATATTTTTGGTGAATTTTTATTTAAAGAAAAAAAAAACCAAAAAGTGTAGAAATAATACAGAATTTCTGAAAAATAAACAATAAGAAATCACTAGTTGATTAATTACATATTCTCATTTTAGAGGTAATTGTTCAAGTTACAAAATTAAAGCATACAAAGTGATATTCAAATAATGACACAGCGAACAGTTTACCTCTGTGATCCAACAAAAACTTATTAATATGCTTATATGTTCTACACACTTGTTTTTTATCTTAAAGACAGTAAGATTAAACATGACAAAACAAAACAGAACAGTTCATAAGGAAACAAGTTAAGGAAACAGGTTTCAAAGCAAGTCCACTGAGATGTTCATTTTCTATCTTAATGTCTCTAGTTTTCTTCCAAATAGTTGTTCCCATCTTCAGAAGCATTGAATATATTGAACATTATAGAACTAATCAAATAATTACAGGATGATGCAGGCTTTTTTGATCTTCAAGACTGATGTTGGGGAAGGTGATAATGATTACCATAATGTGTCTCATTTTCTTCATAGTAGATGTCTTTATTTTTATGTATGCTGAAACTGAACATAAGAGACTAAACTAATATCACTCTGAACAGTGAATAATAGTATCCTGAGAAGGAGAAAGGTGAAGAATTGCCTAAAAAAAGAAGGCAGAGGACATTGTTAAAAGTGTATCAGGATTTAAAAGCTACAGTAGTTCTGTTGCTCGGTTTAGTTTGATTATATTTTGTTCTGGTCTGTCTACTCATATTAGATTTGAGGGCACAGAGAGGTAACCCAAAAATAGCAGGTTTTACCATGATGGTAACTGTCCTTAATTTCCTATTAACTAAAACTGAAACCCTGTATTACTTACATTGTCTTACTATGACTGATCTTATTGGAAGCAGGTTTGTTTGAATGTTATTTGGCCTTGACTGATTTTATTCACATTTGGTATGCTTGCTAGTATCAAGTCCAAGAGTAGAGGCCACTACTCTGAAAATGATAAGACGTGAAAGATATATATTGGGGGGCTGGGGATTTAGCTCAGTGGCTTAAGCCCCTGCCTGGCAAGCATTAGGTAATCAGTTTGATCCTCAGTACCAAAAAATAAATAAAAGATATAAATTCCAGGTTTAATTTTTTTTATTTAAAGACAAAAAAGAACATAAAAAACAAAGCAGTAAAAGGTACAAATCATACAGAATTTCCAGAAAAAAATACAGTAAGAAATCACTAGTTAATAGGTTACATATTGTCTTCTTAGAAACAGTTGTCCAAATTATAAAATTAAAGCATATAAAGTGAACATTCCTACAGCAAGATTCCAGACAGTTGCATTCAATGAACCAACAAAGCTCAGTAATATGGTTTTCCTTCCTAAACTCTCAAACAGGCAATTATATCTCTTAGACTACCTTCCTTTCCTCTCTTCTTCACAATTACATTTACACTTTTGGGTTTTTTTTACTCCCATAGTTCTTATTACTTTTTTTGAAGAGAATAAAACCTCA